CCTAACGTACATAGATGCGGCTTCCAGATACGTCATGCTGTATTTTCTCAAATCCCGAAGCGAAGTAGGAATCATCATGCCGCAATTCTTCGCGCTGCTGAAGCAACGCAACCGCCTTCCTCGAACCTACCGCACTGACAACGCACGCGAATTTAAATCCAACCACGCGCTGCACACCTACGCCTCCCTCGGTATCAAGTACGAGAATAATACCCCTCATCAGCCTCAGGAAAATTCTATTGCCGAGAGAATTAATCAAACTCTCATGAACGCCGCCAGAGCCAATCTCCACCACGCCAACCTACCGGACGCCTATTGGGAGGACGCAGTACGCGATGCGGCTTATAAATACAACATCATACCTCATCGGGCCACCGGACAAGCCCCATACACACTATGGCACAAACAGAAAGCACAGCCGAAGCAGCTCCTCATCTTCGGACAATTAGGCACAATACCTATATACGGCACAAAACGCAAACTAGACACACGCAGCCGAGCAGTACGATACATGTACTCCAACAGCCCCCACTCGATCACAGTGCAAGATACACACACAAGCAAGTACCACATCACACGCACGCAAGACTTCCGTCCGTACACAAAAACACATGACCCTACAGTGACCACAACAGCCGTCCTCCGCACTTCACCAACAGCAACACGCGGAACCGGACTACAACTCACCACACCCGACCCCCGTACCAGACAAGAAGCCAGAACCTACCCTGACGCTGCCGAATGGGAACATGCACACGACACAGAGCTCGATAAGCCAGACGCAACAGGAACCATCAAATGGATACCAGACCGACAGATCCCCATACATGAGAAGCTCATACCACTCACAATGACATTCAGGTACATTCGGGATCACACCGGTACAGTAACCGACCGCAAGGCACGCTGCGCAGCACGCGGCGACCGCATGACCCCGGGGACACATTACGACCCCGAACAAGTCACCACCTACATGGCGGACAAGACTACAGTACGTCTACTCCTCTCCATCGCAGCTACGCACAAATGGCCGCTAGAACACCTAGACATCAGCTCCGCCTATCTCCACGAGAAATTCCCTCAAACGAAACCGGTATACATCAAGCAGCACCCCCGGTTCAACGGCACCCTGAAACATCCATGCAAAGCAGGTCTACTCATGCGCAATATCTATGGCACACCTCAGGCAGCACGTATTTACCACGACGGACTGTCCAAGCACCTACTCGCGCATGGTTACCGGCCCACTCAGGCAGACCCCTGCCTCTTCTACAAAAAGTCCAAACGCGGCCTCATTCTAGTAGCAATCAATATGGACGATTTCCTTTCAGCTGCATCTTCTCAAGAGCTACACGACGAGCTCCACGCCACTCTCGCAGCCAAATACACCATCAAACGTCTCGGCTTCCCTGCCAGGTATCTCAAATGGCACATCCAACGCCTCACAGATGGCTCCATACACATCTCGCAACCCAACGTCGCAAAAACCATCCTTACAAAAACAGGCATGGTGTCGTCCAATCCAAAGCGAACACCGCTACCCCCTAAAGCAACCTTCACGTACACGCAAGACGACTCCCTTTTAGAACAGCACCAATCCTTTCTCTTCCGCCAAACAATTGGAGACCTCAGATACTTAGCCGACAGCACCAGGCCCGATATCCACCCCGCGGTCAGCATGCTAGCCTCAGTCATGCACAAACCGGCTCGCACACACAAGAACCACCTCCACTGGCTCCTTCGGTACCTCAGCGGTACAGCACACCACGGAATACTGTTCAAAGCCAAGGCTCCCAACGCCTCTCCAAGCCTCCGCACATACAGCGACTCGGATTTCGCCAACGACCACGCACGCCGATCCCGAACCGGAGCAGTACACATGTTCCACGACGCACCGATCAGCTGGACCTCAGCTCGGCAATCCGTAGTAGCCGACTCCACCTGTGAGGCGGAATACCTCGGGGCCACGGCGGCCACGCAACAAGCTCACTGGCTCCGCCGCCTCCTCTCCGACGCCCAAAAACCGGAGCACGAACCCACCCCCCTTCTAGTAGACAACAAAGCAACAATCCTCGTGGCACAGAACTCGGCGCCCACCAAACGTCGAAAGTTCATCGATGTGAAACATCACCTCATACACAACCACATTCAACGAGGAAACATCAAAATCCAACACATCCCCTCCGAGGACAACATCGCCGACTACTTCACAAAGCCACTCGGCCCACAACGCACGAAAAATCTCCTCAACAAGCTCAGCTTCGTCGACACAAAACCCCTATTGGCGAACCCGGGGACTGTCAGACCGCACAATCACATTCGCCAATAGTCATTTTGCAGTCTCAGACCGCACAGGACAGTCTGTCCTTCAGGATAGACTTATAACTAGCGAGCGACGACGAGTAAACGAGGAGGCATCGGTCTTCTGTTCACACAATTCACATTTGGAGATAGCAACTAATCAACTTTTTCCTTGGCCTCCATTTCCATTAGACCTTTTGAGGAATAATGACACGCATGCGCACGCATTAAGTGCTGGTGCTACACTATAGGCAGTGTGTACTGTAGTACACATTGCCTATACAGTGCTGGCAAAAACTATAAGGCACCTGGTACTTTGCATATTCCTAGAAAAGTTTTTATGCTATCATAAAATCCTTTGCCTTATTGAAGGCCAATGAGGCGCTGATACTGCCCATGCAGTTATTGTTTAAAAAAATGTATGGTGGTGGACGCTATCGCGTCTTATTTCCCAAACGCGTGGCAAAAACTATAAATACAGTTGCATACACAGAGGTCTAATGCGCTCGGAACTAGACAAGGAACAGTTTTTAATAGCATATCTTCTTCCCCTTGGCGTACACAACATCAACGCACCGCTTCTGCATAGATTCAGTAAGTTTTCGGAGCGTATTGGGTGCAATATTTGCCCAAGCTTCCATGATACACTCAGTAAGAGACTCAATATCTTCAAATTGCCTCTGTTGCGCATAAACGGATCTCACGAGTATACCCCACAGATTCTCGATTGGTTTCAGGTCTGGCGAGTACGCAGGCCACTCTAGAAGCGATATACCGTTGTCCGAGAGCCATTCTTTCGCCAGCAGTGAACGATGGCAAGGTGCGCCATCCTGCATAAACGTCCAAGTAATTGGTAGATCCTCCGCAAAAGGTAGCAGATGGTGCTCTAGAGTTGTCACGTACTTCGCTCCATCCTGCTTTCCTTCCAAAAAACAAGCTCTGATATCCTTGAACCGGCAAAGCATGCCTAAACCATAACACTCGAACCCCCATTTTGTCTCTTTGGAAACCACTCCTTCTCCTTTCTCAAGTCATGCCATTTATACGCCAACCGTCTAGTCCATCCAAGCTGAACTTCTTTTCATCGGACCAGACGATTTGGGACCATTTTGCATTGCTCCACACCATTCGTGTCATCGCCCACTTGAGCCGAGATTTTTCATTATGCTCACGCATCGCTGGTGTCCGAGCAATTTGCTTGTATCGTAAATGCTCGGCTGCAGCAAGAACCTGGCGCACACGGCGAGCTTTGACACTCAGTTGCAATGCTTTCACAATCCCTGCTGACCCCAAATCTCCATTCGAGCCTTCCCGTAAAATTCTTCGCTTATCAGCCTCCGTTAATTTTGGCGGCTTTCCCCCCGCATTTTTGCGATTGTACCGCTTTTGATCCCGCAAAAAGTTTGTAACAACTGTGCGGGATCGTCCCAGCTCGCGGGCAATAGCAGATAGGGAGATACAGTTGGAGTGATGGACAAGGATTTGTCCTTTTTCAAGAGTTGTGAGCCTTGTGTTTCGAGGCATGATTGTGCGTGTTTTGTTTTAGCTTGGGGAACCGCAGTGGCTCGTAGCAATGAAGAAGAGATAGTTTGCACTGTGTAAAGCTTTTTGGCGCGAAAGGAGCTCTTTGAGGGGTCTTTTGTTGCACGTGTATGCAACTGTATTTATAGTTTTTGCCACGCGTTTGCGGAATAAGACGCGATAGCGTCCACCACCATAGATTTTTTTAAACAATAACTGCATGGGCAGTATCAGCGCCTCATTGGCCTTCAATACGGCAAAGGGTTTTATGATAGCATAAAAACTTGTCTGGGAATATGCAAAAGTACCAGGTGCCTTATAGTTTTTGCCAGCACTGTAGTGTAGTACCAAGGGTACCCGATGGCTACCCAGTGTACACAGTGTGTACACTGGGTAGCCATCGGGTACCTGAACAAGGACGAGGCCGCAACACAAAAAAGCATCATTTACAGTAAATATCTACCTACCGCGCAAATTCAAAGTAAAATTTTTGTGCGCTCATGGGAGCCTCCGCGTTTTTTTCGTTAGAGGTATATTCTTCTTTGGAAGAAAATCGTTTCAGTGCGTTAAAGTTTGAAAAAAATCATTCCGATCTCACAGACTTCCCGGTTTTCAAACATGTCGAACAGTTTTCCATTACGGTTCAATAATGTGCCATCCATGTCCGCTAGACTAAGCAATTTGCCAATACTAATTGCCCATTTTAAGCAAAACAATGCATGTGTTGATACCTAAGATGCATGTCTGTTTTAGTATCATAAGTATCCGTCAATATCTGGAGAATAGAGGGTTTACGCAGTTCGATATTTCGTGGTAAGTGTAGTACAATTGCGTACCACGACCATCCCGGGGAGATGTGAACCGGACGGAAGAGCGGGTACTACTGTAGCGACCGGGCTTGCACGCGCCCGTAGCGGAGTACAGTAGTACCCCGCGGGTCACACGTGCTACAACCGCTGGCGTGGCCACGGGCACACGTGTGTAATCCGTACGGTTATAAGTAGTAATTAGTAGTTAATGGCACGAATTTATTAATTGTGTACAGTAGCTGGTATACAGTAAGTAACAGCTACTGTAGCGGGACAGGTGTCCTGGCGTCCCACTTAGGGGTTAAGACCGGGGGCACCTGCCCCGTCCCAGTAAAGAGGAGGCAGACTCGCCTCCCTTCCCTTTACGGCTAAGTGCTAACACCGTTCCGGTTTTCCTTTAGCTCGGGCTTCTAATCCGTGACCGGCCGTCCGGGTATAACACCACCGACCGGCTGCGCGTCACCGGCCACGTGAGCCTTCCCTCTTTTCGAGTCCATCCGTACGGTTTTTATCTGCGCGTGGGTAACCCAGCGTCGCGTGCTCCCTCACCTCTAACCCCCCTCGTTCCGAGTGGTCGGGACGAAGGTAGTTATACCACATTTTGGTACTCTTGTGGAGGGCATAACTACAGAGGTTGAGCCCGCACTGGATCGCCAGCGCGAGCAATTACCGATCGGATTGAAAGAGGTCGAAAATCACCGCGTCGATCGCCAGTGATCATCGACGATGAACCGTGCGGATTCCGCCGGAGAAGATACCGCCTCCGGGCGAGCAAGTACCCGCAGTGGCAGAGGCGCACAGCGCCCCCGGATCGACAATCCGGAAGCCCTGCTACGCCCGCCGTCTACCAGGGGCCAGAAGACCCCTTCCGTTTCGGACACCACCGCCGGGCTACCGGCTGGTGGGGGAAACCGCGTACAAGTACTGTACGACGCGTTACTCCCGCGATTACAAACCTGGATGGAGAAATTCCTCGCTGAGGAATTACCCTAGGTCGTCCAGGTTTGCCTCGACCGAACGGTACCCGGGCTGGTGGTGGAGCAAGCGGACGCCGCGCTCCGCGCCCTGCTGGACGAGAAGATCGCCCCCCTCGTACGCGACGAGGTGGTGGCCGCGCTCGCCGCGGAGGAGGACGAATCTCCCACCGCAATGGCTCTAAAGGGAGCTATTAGCTCCGCCGTGGCCATTCGTCTGGCCACGACATTTACAACCGAAGCGGGAGGCGCGGCACCGCCGCCGGCGCCGCGCCATGAAACCGTTCCGGGCTCAAGCAATTATATCGCTGATCCGATCGGCGCCGTACCCGGGATTGATAGGATGGACCCTCACCCGGAGGGTAGAGCCATCTATCTCCCAACCGTTCACGGTGCTACAGGGAGGACTACAGAAAATGTCCTCCCCATACTCGCCGGTACAGGTGACCCCCGCGGGACAGAAAACCGCCTGGGGCTCCCCGAGACAGAAAATCGGGACCCGTACCGGTTGAGCACAAGACGTGCACCCGGCACGTGCAGAAACGAAGCGGAATACACCCGGTATTCCGACGCAGAAGACCCCCGTCACAGGACGGATGAAAACCGCGAGGAACGCCGCTGGCGATACCGCGATAACCGCGAGGCACGCCACGGGCGATACCGCGATGCCGGAGGGGGAGGATACCCCTCCGATGACGACCAATCCGGTTCGGAAGGTTCGCGCAGGCGGGGCCACAGGGCACGCCGCGATAGAAGCCGAGACCGTCACCGGCAAGAACCGTCCGACTCGGAAGAATACAGTACCGAGTCGGGTGAGGAGCGTCGTCGCTCAAGCAGACACCGCCGGGCTGCACCAAGGGGTGACGAGCGACGGACTACGGTAATCAGGCCGCTCAATGACCTGTTTACCAAGGCCGTCAACTACAAGACCTACAGCCTGGAACGGCGTAGCTCGCGCTACGACTCTACAGTAGCGCGGCACATTAACCGTTACCGGAAGAAACTGGACGTGCAGATGAGGTCCCACACGTTCAGTGGTCAAGATCCGATTGCGGTATTGGGATTCCTCGCACGCCTCAAGATGGCGTGCGACCACAACGGGATCACCGAGGGAGCCGCCGTGTGGTGCTTCCAATTCTACCTCACCGGTCAGGCTCACGCCCTACTCCAGTCCCGTCTCAATGGAAACACCATGGCGGTTGACGTGGAGCGGCGCGAACTGCTCAGGACGTACCCGCAGGTTGTCAATTTTTTGTTGCGTACCTATGCGACCGATGAGGTAATTTCCGAAGTGGTTGGTGACGTGACCTCCTTCCGTCAAAGTTCGAACATGACGGAGGAGGTCTACAGTAACCACCTCTGGGACAAGGCCCTCCGATGCGGTACGGTATTCTCCGACCGGCGGTTGAAGTCCCTATTCGTCGAGGGGTTACTTCCTGCCACGTGCGCGCAGGTCCGCAACTACCTTGCTACGCACCCGGATGTGGATTACCAATCCGTGGCTCGATACGGGCAAGCGATCGGGGAAACCAATCGGGCTTCCCGCCGGCAGGGGATGTCAGCCATGGCATCCCGGGAGCCGTCCGGAGCGGCCAGAAGATTCGAACGTACCGCCAGGACACGGCCCGTGCTGTCGGTTGAGTCGGCATCCGACATCCCGACAGCTCGAGGATCCGTGGCAGAAGAAATCTTGGCCGTGACGGACCACACCGCGACGCCGAGCCCGTTAAGCTCGCCGCCGACGAGTTATTACCCGTCGCCGGCAGCCTCGGCATCAGGCCCCGCGGGTCCGCCCGCCAACCCGGGCGATGTGCACGCAGGACCGTACGGGAGGCAGGGGCAGAACCCACGCGTCCGGTTCTCCAGTGGGGGATTCCCCGGACCGCCGCCGTGTCGGTTCTGCCTTGACACTACGCACCGACAAGAGGAGTGTCCCGTCGTTGCCGATGCGGGCCTGCGGGCCAAGCTTCTGGAGGCACGAGAGGCCAACTACCAGAAGCTACGCATCCGGCAAGGCCTCCGCCCGGGATCCCCGTTCAACCGCCAGGGGCCGTCCGCTTGGAGAAACCAGCGTCCGACGGCCCCCGCGGGCGTGAACGTGATAGAAGAGCCGCACCACGGCCCTACTGAAGACCACGTGGTGCAAGCCGCGGAGGAAACCCGCGAAGACCTGCTGCTCACGGGGGAAGCCGGGGAGGACGCTTAGAGGCGACGACGTCTCTCCCCGTGCCAAGCCTCAGGAGCTCAGGCACCCCCGAACCGGTTGCGCCAGTGGAAGCGCAACCGGGGAACCGAACGGAAATCCGGGCCATCTGCTTCTTCAAGAAGGAGAATTATAAGGTTTCCGCCACGGTTGGCCAAAAGCAGGCGCTGATGGTCGCCATCACGCCAGTGCTCGACTCAGGAGCCGGCCCGAACCTCATCCATTTGCGGTGTGTCGCCGAGTCATGGCGACCGTCGATAAAACCGGTTCGGAGCACAGCGCTCATTGACGCGTCAAACCGCGCAATGAAAGCTCTAGGAGAGATCTCCTTGTTTGTCCGTATCGGTGAATTTATCGCGCGCATCCCGTTCTTGGTGGTGACGAGCCTCGCCGTGGACTGTATCCTCGGTACGACCTTTCTCGATCGCCACGTCAAGGCGATCCTCCCACCGCAACGG